GATTTAAAAGTAGTTGCAGACACTCCCCTAAGAAAGATGACCAATATGAGAGCATTAGCAGCAGCCAAATTGGGAAGCCTAAGTCCACAGTTCATGAGTGGGTAAAGAGAGGTATGCTTAGGAGCCATTTTAATGCTATCAAACCATACCTTACAGAAGCTAATAAGATTTCAAGGTTAAGGTTCTGTTTAGATCAGATGGAACCTGATATCATTCCCAGCAACCCTAAGTTTAAGAGTTTTCACAATGTTTTGCACATTAATGAGAAATGGTTCTTTATGTCTAAAACCTCCGAGAAATTTTATCTCCTTCCAGAAGAGGAAGATCCATACAGAGCATGTAAATAAAAAAGATTCGTAGCAAAAGTTATGTTCTTATGTGTGGTTGGGAGACCACTTTTTGGGGAGAATAGAGAACTATTGTGGGATGGAAAAGTAGGGATATTTCATTTCACAGAAAGACTGCAAGCCAAAAGGAAGAGCAAGAACATGGAAAGAGGGGTGGTAGAGGTGAAACCAATCACCAGTGTTACCAAACAAATCACAAAGGATATGCTAATCAATAAAGTAATTCCAGCTATCCAAGAAAAGTGGCCATCAAAGTTATCCAAAATCATACAGATTTAACAAGACAATGCAAGGCCACACATTCAAGGAATAGACACAGACTTTATGGCAACAGGTAACAACAATGGATTTCAGATCACCCTATGTAACCAACCCCCCAACTCCCCAGACATAAATGTCCTAGACCTTGGATTTTTCAGAGCAATTCAATCTTTAAAAGACCAGTGTGCTCCAAGTACAGTGGCTGAACTGTTAGAAGCAGTGGAAGGAGCATATAATGCTCTAAGTCCAGAAACCCTAAACAGGGTGTGGTTGAGTTACCAGCCGGTTTTAACTAAAGTCATGGAACATGAAGGAGGCAACAACTACAAACTACCACATATGGGAAAAGATAGACTAGTAAGGGCAGGGACACTACCTAATTCCTTGAGCATAGACCTAGGCTTAATCAGAAGACATCAACACTGCTGGGAGAACAGAATGGGGCTATCAATGCAGACATGGTTGAGTTCAACAATGAAGAGGGTGATGAGTACTTCTCTTCAGAGTTGAACTGAATCCAATGTTGTAAGCATCTTTGGTTTTTGGGTTTTTGTTTTTTGTTAAGAGGTAACCAAATAATGTAAGTGGTACCCACATTAGGTAGATTGGTTTTTTTTAGTTTTTTCACCTGCTTATACACTGCTATATATGTACTCACATTAAGGTAACTACACACAATCTGCTCTAAATGTAATTTTGTTCACATATAAACAACAGCCAACATATCAGTCTCAAAAACATATCCCACATCATCATTGCTGATTTTAGGTGCATATACTTTTGTACTCAGAGGCATATGAGAAAGTAGGGGTAAAGCTCATCATAGTACTTTTGCTCTCAGACAATGCTAGTAGCAGTCTTCATAGACATCACCTCGTCCTCAACTCCAATGTCCTGAAATTCCGTCTCAGGGATGATGGAATCGTAAAGAAAGTAATCGGATTCCATGAATTCAGGCAAAGATGTATAGATCTGGGAGAGGAAGGAGCGTAATCTAGGGATTGGGAGAGAAGAAGAACCGACAGAGAGAGGGTGGATTAGATCTAAAGAGGGGGCGAGAGCGTTTAATTGGGGAGGTGGGGAGGTTGGGTAGATAGGAAGAGTGAATGTGAGGATATTAAATGAGAGGGGTATTTTAGGGAGATTAGAGATAAAATAATAGAATGGGAACATCATTTCCGGACGGAAAAAAACGTATAATGGGAACATCATCCCCGGACGGAGGGAGTATTTGATATAGTGGACAAAATATGGAAAACCTTCTTATAATTATAATTATGTGCGACAAATTATCAATGAATGGAATGTAATCATGTTCATCCAAATTTAGCTCGGAATCTGCGAGACATATCACTGGCGGCGGAGGTGAGGATCGGAAAGGAAACTGATAACGCTCCGACGACAGTTGAACAGAGATCCTCCGGCGCCGGGAACTGATGACTGAATTTCGACAGGGAGAAACTTATGAGTTAGGAAAAAACGGCCTACATATGCTCAGTATATGTAGGAATAATTGGAGTGGGAGAGAGTCAAGAAGAAGAGAGTATGTCTTGGAGTCAAATAGAATGTCGCGTCTGGTCATCACCAGTCCACATAAATGGACTCTTGAGAGTGGGTGGGTATGACTCGTGTGTGAGAGATTCTTTTTTTTAAAACGCATTGCAGATGATTTGAGTTGATTGGAATTGTTTAATTCCACCAAATCAAAAGTTGGTCTCTGAAAACTGTGAGAAAGTCATTTGTCTTAACTGACAATCAATTTTCTAGTGTTGACTTTCCTTTTTGAAAGCCAAACTAGTCATTAGGATGGACAACGGTCACAAGAAAATCAATTTTCAAAAACCAAAATTAATTTCCAAAATTGGTGCTCACCTGAAAGTCTCACGAAAGTCAGGGTGAAGGCTGAGTCAAAGAAAGTTGATTATCAATCGATTATCCAAGCTAAAAATTGATTTTTCTTGATTTTCATTTAACTTAACAAAAAGATAATTGATAACAGTACTAGAATTTCACCTATTAAATGCAGATAATTTGCGGGGAATGACTCCGCTGCTAATTAGAGGCAAATTAGTGGAAGACTATTCCTTCTCTATTTGAAATTTTAATTAGTGAGGGTTATTTCCACCGCTAATGTCGTAACTAATTGAAATAAAATACACGAATATATACGGGAAAATAATTAAAAATAAAAAAAGGGCGGTCAAAGAAAGTCTAGAATTAATTTTTAAACTAAAATAAAAATAGCAGCGGACTTATTCCCCACTAATATCAAATAAAATAGCTGTGGAGTTATCTCCCGCTATTTAGAGTAAATTTAGCTTAAAATTTAGAGTAAATTTTCAAAATGGTACCGAATAACTACGTGTTTTTCAATTTAGTGCCTAAAACTAAATAAATCCCAAGATGATACCCGTTAATTGAAAATAATGTTCAGTTCAGTCCCCAACTAATGACCGTTAAAACGACATTAAAACAACGTTAACTTTTATACTATTTTCTCAAAATCGTACTTTCTAACTCGGTGTTTTCTCAAATTCGTCCCTTTTAGAAATAAAAATACATTAATTATAGAATTTTTTTAAAAATTCTATAGAATGAAAATATAATACTTAAAACTATAAATATAATTTTATAAAATTTAAAGTAAATGTTTTTGATGATTTATAATTATTTAGAAGAATATCATGTAAATAAAATATTTAATAATCGTTAAAAAATTACACTAAATAAGAGTAAAACATAAATATTTTGTTAAATATTTATAACTAAATGTATTTTCTTCAACGTTTGTTAAATATTTTGTTTTTATGATATTTTTTTAATTAATTGTAAATAATCTAAAACGTTATTTTCAAACTTCTAAAATTATATTTATAATTTTTAGTACTATATTATCATCTTATAAAATTTAAAACATTTTTTCATAATTAATATTTTTTATTTTGAAAATGGACCAATTTGAGAAAACACTCAGTTAGAAAATACCATTTTGGAAAAAGTAGTATAAGGTTTAATGTCTTTTTAACGTTGTTTTAACGATCGTTAGTGAGGGGATTATTCTCAAATACCGATAGACACGATCACGGGCCCAGGTATTTGGCCCGCCCGCAAAAGCGCATTTTTGGGCTTGACATTTTAGCGCACGGGCCAGGCTTGAGCCTTATAAATGGCGGCCCGAATATTTTAGGGTCAGACTCGAGTTTTATGCTCAAATCCACGGGTCGACCCGGCCTGAATGAATTAAGATATTTATTATTGGTATAATTATAATAAAATAACAATAACAACATTAATAATAATAATAATAATAATAAGAATAATACTATTTAAAATTATTATAAACACACATACATCCTTCTATGGAGAAAAAAATTAAATTATAAGTATATTAAATAAAATCAATACATTTTTATTATTCCGTGTTATCTACAACGCATCACACATTGATTATGTTATTCCAATAAATAATACTTCTCCGTACATATAGTAGAAGTATCAAACAAAACATATTATATATTAGTTGTTCTTTTATTTTTACTCATTATAGTTAGTATATCTAACATCTAATATATTGACCATTATTTTTTTACAAAATTATTTGTTATGTTATCTAGAAGTTTTTGTCATGTGGATTGGGCCGGCCCGAAGCCCGAAGCCCGTGGGTATGCATACGGCTCGGGCTTCAATTCTTAGACCCGCTATACGGTTCGGCTGGGTTCGGGTTTAGAAAATTCTCGTAATGTAGTACTCCCTCCGTCCTATAATGATCTTCCCAGAGCACTATTCCAACTTCACAGGAATTTATATTTATTTGTGTTTTTTAATGGCCTATATGATAAAATAAAATATTCTTGTCACCACTTGTTTTGTTGTACTTTTGGTGTAGTTTTTAAATATGTATGTTTTATTTTTTATTTCTATACCAATATTTAAATAAAATAGATTGAAAAAACTTTGGATTTTTCTTCATTTTGCGAACCGGGAAGACCATTATAGGACGGAGGGAGTATCTCGGTTCGGTCCGACCCGCACTTTGATCAGGTCTAATTATTGAGTACCATCTCGAGAATTAATTAGTTTTCAGAACTAATTTGGAAAAACATATATTTATTGAGTATTATTCTCGAAACTTACTCTCATACTTGAAAACTATCACGCTCCGTTTGCAACACGGAATTTAAATTATGAAACTGGAATTGAGGACAACAATTTCAAATCTACCGTTTGGTAGCACAAAAATATGTGAATTTAAAATTGATAGTACAAAAAATGAATTTAAATTTGAAAAATTAATTCTATCCTAACCAAATTCATAGAGTATATTTTCCAATTCAATTCCCTGTACAAAATGGACTTTGAAAAATAAAATCAGGGTTCTCGTTCCATCTCTGTCTACATCCGTCAAAACCGAGAGGGCGGCGAAGCAGGTCGGCTTCTTCAACCCCAGGCCAGCCGGGCAGCCACCATCCCCAACCTACGCCGAGTCCTGCCACCATTGATCGCCGAGTCGTCTCAGTTCCCGAGCCCAGCCACCATCGCCAACCTACGCCGCCTTCGCCAGCCCAGCCTCCTCCGCCTCCAATTTCCAGGTTTTTACTTTTTCTTGAATATCCACTTTTGTATTGTTTTAATTGGGTTCAATCATGTGAATGAAACTGCTTCAATTGTTCAAGTAATGTGTTCGGGCATATTTCTCTATTACCTCTCTGCAGATCTGTTTTTTTAGTTTTTGTGGTCTATTGAATCTGCATAAGTGAGTCAAAAGTAGTAAAAAATCATCCACTCCTACTTGGAGTTCTCTGTAAAAGATTTAGAGAAGGCTTATCAGAAGCATTCAATAAATAGAGGTGAGACTCTCCCATTCCTACCGAGTTTAATAAAGGAAGGGAATTGAGAGTATTTTAGAGAAAAGGATGATATGGTGTTTGGGATTGGAAATTTTTATTATGGATGAAATAATAGTGGATGAGGAATATCTTTTGTTTGGATTGAAAGGGAAAATGAAAGGATGGGATATATTTTAAATGTAAAGATACTTAACAAACAAAGGATGGGATGCCTCCCTCCTTTCATTTACCTCTTCTTCTTTCCATTACCCTCAATCCAAACACACCCTTAAGGAGTGAGGGTATAACCGTAAAAGTCTCCAAGTAAATCTACGAAGGCTCCTCAAATAAAAGAGGAACACTGCAGAAGAAAGCCTTCTCATGATAGAAGAGGCGACCCAATGATGACTCATGAAGAGTGTCAGTTATAAGGTTTTCTGAGAAAGAAAATACAAATCAAGAAGGCTTCTCCCGGCTGCAAATGTGTTAGGTAGAATCCTTAGTAGATAGAGAGAAGTGAGGTTGTACTATGATCCACATAGTACTTACTATAAATAAAAACATACACAATTTGTTGGGACAGATAACAAATGAAAACAAGCTTAACAAATTGGGATGGATGGCTTATATAAGAGAGCTATATGAGCTCGTGGATATGGGGAGGTTGATTTTTTCCCCTAACCTTTGCTCAACTTCTTGAAACTAGTGATGTGTATTCGTTCATTCCACGTTTGCAACTATTTCCAAATTTTTAGTTAGTCCTAATGGAGTATGACATTATATTGGCAGTTGGTCCTAGAATTAAATTTTCTTGCTTCCTGCCTAGAATGGATAATGTGCAAAAAGGAAAAGACGATGGCCAATCAACTCCTGTGGAGATGCAAGGGACAGGCTCATCAAGTGGTAGTTTGTTGGGATTGATTCAAGAAAGGTACTACAAGATCAAAGAGAATGCAGAGACATACCCTTACGTGTGGGGGTCGTACATTGCAGTGTATGGAGGATTAGGCCTTTGGCTTGTCTACAGAGGGATGAAACTCCGTAAAACGGAAGAGAGGGTTCGAGCTCTTCAAGAGCAACTGCGCCAACTCGTTGAATCTCAAGAGCATGGAGGCGCATCTGTTTCTGGATCTAGCAGTAGGGCTCGCCCACCACAGGATAAAACCACTGATTAAATGGTATGTTATGATCCCTTTCGTGGTTTTTCATTATTATTTTTTTGGGTCTTTTATGACTTTCTTTGGAAGAGAAGATCCACATTGGAAGTAGAGAACTGAAGGCTTTAACTTAATCATCTTGACAGTACAAGGAATGGTGTTAACCTGCATTTCTATTTGCTTAAGAATTATTTAATGACACTTGTGTGGTAGTATTATAATGCAACATGTATTTATCTTTTACAAACAAGTACTCTGTATTATAGTCCGACTTCTGGCATTCTATAGTACCAAACTACTCGTACTATAATGTGTAGCTTGCTTCAATTCTTGATTAATGAATTTTCTATCTTTCAATGCGTTTTCGGGCTAATTTCTCTCATCGAAAGGTTTCAAATGCAAACTTGGATTGAAAAAGAAATGAAAGTTACTGAATTTTGATACATAGTACGGAGTAAAATTAGTATGCTCTGAAAAGTAGATTGAGAAATAATGTGCGCCTTTCGTTCGGAAATATTTTTCACATTTTACTTTTCTTAGTCAAAGTTTATAAACTTTGACTCCGATTTGTGGAAAAAATACATTATATTATGATATAAATTTAATATCAATATATTCTTAATGAAATGTAATTTTGAAATATCAACTTTTTATAAAATATATCTATGTATAAATATAGATATTAATGGTTAAAGTGCAATATTGAAAATCGTAAAAAGTTAAATGAAAAGAACATTTCCAGACGAATGGAGTATAAAAAATGTGTTAACTAATTTGAAACCGGTTTAAAATGGATGAAGAGAATGATACTCGGAGTATTGGAATACTTAATACAGAGCATGATCCTAAAGATATGAACCATTACACTCTCTTTTGTACTTGTTGTTTTGCATTCTACGGGGTATATGAGTATAAATAGAGGTGCTAATCAGGTCAACTGGATCGGTTATGGATTGGATTTTTTCACTTCGGATTGGTTTAATTTCGATTTCGTTTTGATTCGATTCTATATATCTTTCGGTTTTGGTTCGGTTTCGAGTCGGTTTAGATATGATTCGAATATAATCGGTTCTGATACATTTCGATTCGGATACAATTTGATTCATATATATTTTTGCTTCGGTTCTAGTTCGGTTTGGATATGTTTCAGTTTCGGATATATTTCAATTCGGATATATTTCGATCGAATATATTTTGGATATATATTATTTTCTAATTAAAATATAATTATCCATGTTTCTTTTTTTGTTTGATCACATTTATCAATCTATCATGTATCATATTCAAATTATTTTATTTTTTTTCTAATTATACAACCTCCACCCTAAACAATCTTTCTTTTTTGACTTTTTAGTCATATTTTATAAATTTGGACTACAAATTATGAAAATTATATATTTAATTTTGATAAAAATTTAATATAATTAAATTGATTTTAAAATTTAGTTTTGATTTATTAAATTTAGAGACTCACATTCTTTTACTATAATATTTGAGACTCGCTTCACGAGAGTTCGACAAGTGGACAACACACTTGGCCATTTTTTTACACATCATGTCATTTTTAGAGTATGCGTTTATAATTACATTTTGTTTTTATATTTTTATTAGTTATAATTACTCATTTTATAACTTTCATAAAAAATGATGTGGGTTCTATTTTATGCCTTAGTTACCTTATTAGATGTTTATGTTTTTGCCATAACTAAAGCTAATCCGGGGTGATACTTTAATTTAAATATAAGTTTTAATTACGATTAAATCAATTTTTTTGCATCATTTAAAGTCAAATTTTATAGTTTACCAAGTTATAAAAATATAAGATTAAATATAACATCTTGCGTTATGTAATTTTCATAATTTTTACTCGATGATTTTAATAGATCTTGCCTATGTAAATTAAACAAAGAGATAATAATTATAACATCTTGCGTTATGTAATTTTCATAAATAATTAAACAAAGAGATAATAAATATAACATCTTGCGTTATGTAATTTTCATAATTATTATGATAATAATAATTATTTTAATCGATAAATAATATTATAGTACAAAGAGAGAAATAAGAATATAATCTTGAAAGTAAATTCTATAATCGGTCTCTAATTTTAGGTGGTTTTTCATAATTAGTCTCCAATTCTAAGATATTATATAAATGGTCCTCAGTGTTTGAAAATAATTCCATAAATAGTCGTTTAAGACACGAGTGATGCTTACATAGTCCTAAGGCCAATATTTAAAATGTGGAGCTTCTCTCATTTTTCATGTGATCCTTAGGACAAAATATTTTTTCTGCATATAGTTCTTAAATGACATTTCATTGAATACTTTTCACAAATTGAGGACGATTTATGTAATTTCTTAGTATTATGGACTAAATATAGAAAATCACTAGTAATTAAAGATTGTGTATGCGGTTACTCTATTTCTGGATAATCATATATCTATAATTTAAAAAGGAAAAAAAGACTAAAGTAAGAGTAAAACATATAAAATATATCAAAATCGGAGTTTCATGTTTTTACTCTGAAAATAGGAATTAAAATGTATTTACAATGTCAATCATGCCAATGTATAATACCAAAAAATGTGAAATGTTCATATACAATGTCACATTAACACAATGTAAACTCCTATTTTGGGACAAAATCATGAAACTTCTATTATATACTAAATGACAAAAAAAATTTGAATAGAATATATAAAAACAATTTCAAAGTTTCTCGTGGTTTGGAAAATAGGTAGAAATGTCCCATTGCCCCGTCTATTTTCAAAACTTATTCATAAAATCTTAATCATTTCAAAAGGTAGCACAGAATATCCCATCGGACTATTTTTCTCTCATTTTTTCCAGAGAAGAAGGGGCATTGGTGCTCAATTTTTAAACCACAAGGGTACGAGAGACCATTATCATAATTTTTATTTATTTTTATCTCTCTTTATAAAATATTCTTTATAGTGTTTCTAAATTTGAATTAGTTAAGAGGAAACAACTAAAAGAAAAAAATTAACATAATCATATAAATTATATGTATCAAGTTAAATATTTTTATTTTTTGTCAAATAAAATAAAAAATAGAAAAAAGATATAAAATAAAATATAATATAAAAAGGAGTGAGTAAGAAAATGAAGTTCCGTCCAAAGCAAACCAAATTTATTTGTTCATTTTCGAGATATAACAGCATTCCTAAAAAATGATTTCGGGTATGTTTAGGAATAACGTTAGAGATTAGCATTAAAATTTTGAAATGATTATCAACGGAGAGCATTTAGCATTAGCACTTTCAAATTCGATCTGCACCGTTAAAATTTTATCCAAAACGCTAACGCTAATTGAAAACAGGCCTTCATACCACTTATGTAACCAAACATAGGAAAAGAGACTCTGATTTCTTGGAAAAATATTTTTCTCCTAACAAAACAGACTGTAAGAGTTAAAGTCCAAAATAACAAAGTCATAGAAAAACTTTAGATAAATTACAGAAAAAAAATCATTTCACCGAAATGCATCGCATAAGTTAAAACACTATGTCCTTATCCTTAATTCTTAATTCTTAATATATAAAGCTGACTCCGAATCGTGTGTCGATGAAGGATTTAAAATTAAACGACCTTAAATCTCATTATTGCCATGTACTAATTTAGCATTTCTTACCAGTGACAATTAGATCAATATTGCCAATGAATGTGAGGGGGCCAATAACTAGACTTTGTTATTTTTTCAATGTAATTTGTAGTAAGGTCATTGATGTAGAAATGTTGGATCGGTTACAAGAGGAAGTGTAGCCACCTTATGTGAGTTTTAGAACTTCTTTCCTCTATCATTCTTCGATATCATGGTCCATTTAGTTGTGCATTAGGTGAGAGAAGTTAAGCTTTGTGGCTTTGTATTTTTAAGATACATGTATCCTTTAGAGAAATTTATGGGCATTTTGAAAAAGTATGTGAGGAACCGGTATACACTTGAGGGCAGTACTGTTGAATGATATTTGACAGAAGAGCTTGTTGAATTCTACAACGAATATTTGGATTTGGAGTGCACGATTGAGGTATACCAAAGTCTCGCCATGAAGGTAGAATTGAGGGAAAACGTAGAATAGGAAATCACATCATTCATCTTGACTTTGATATGTTTGGTCTAGCACAACTCTATACTTTACAACAACTTAATGATGTTCGTCCGTATTTAGAAGAGCACATGTCCCTATTAAGATGAGAGAACCATAAAAATATGAGAGGTGGTTGACCAACAAGCACAACCACATATTTATGAAATATTTTCAAGAGCATGTTCGCTGGCAAAAAGTACATTCTCTTGATCTTGTCACAGAAAATGTGAGATCATTAGTCATGGGTCGTCGGTAAATGTATCCTCTTACAAGGGGTACTACATGAACGAATATTATTTCTATACAAAACGTCATGATGACAAGAGTACAATATATAATAGTTGTGTGTCATTGAATGCTTCTTCGTTATACATTCCTAGGGGTAAAGGTTCAACACAATCCGATCATACAAAACATACTATGACGTGGTCGAGGATATTACAATTATAATGGTCTCCCAAGCGATATAAACTTATTACATTGTTGATCCTAAAGATAAGAATTAGTCTGCCAAGGGAAAAGGTCACCATTTGAGTTGGACGATGGTCTATATGATCAAGCGACTCCTATTTCAGTTAGTATACAAGACTCACAAGTAGATGATATAGAGGCAAGATACATTCACGAATATCACAAAGAAGGTTTATGGACAAATATTGAAAAAAGAAAAAGATAAAATAAGGATTTAGATATTTAATCTTGTTCATTTCTATCAATTTCATTTCATTTATTTTCAAGTGCTATTTATTTTAATCAAAATTTGACTCCAAAGTCAACTAAATTTTGTAGGGTGCAATTGACGTAGGTGAGTGGAGGGTCAGTTTGGGTCAGGCTGGGGTAGGGGATTTACCGAGGGGTTAAGAAGGGTAAAAATCATTAATTTCTCGCTCCGCAGGTGCTGCAATCGAGACCCATGTCACAAGATGATATGGAGAACTAATGTCAGCCGAACCTCCCGAAAATATCATGGTAACATATTGCATTCAAGATGATAAACACAAATTCTGTGTAGGACTTAAGGATGAATGCATGTAGTATCCCTTAAACCCCTACGAAACATGTCAAAAGTATATGCGCCCGCATCAGCGAACAAAAAAATTTCCTTAAAATGAATGTCATCAATTTCGGATAAGGAGTTAACTCATACCACACCCGACGGGTCATATTTACGTTATTAGATTAAGATCATTTTTTAAAAATACAAATTAATATTTAATATAATATATAGATTTTATTATTTTCAG